ACACACACACACACACGCACGCACAGATAAAATGACAAAAGTGCATACTGAAATTACTTAAACTAAAATTAAAATGGAAACTGAAAATACAAAAATATTATACACAAACAAATAATATAAAATAACAATGATTTTACAAAATAAAAAAATGTTTTGTTAAAGTTTCTTAACGTTTTAATGTATATGTATTATTAAATATTTATATACTTAATATTTTCATTTACATTTGGTTAAATAATCAATAAAACTACTATAATTCACTATTATAATACATAAATATATAGAATACATAATTTATCATTTTAAATTTAGTAGCTCGTGCATTTACAAGCTACAGCAGCTCTGACAACAGTTACATGTGACTAAACAGCTACATACTGATACATAATTTATCATTTTAAATTTAGTAGCTTGTGCATTTACAAGCTACAGCAGCTCTGACAACAGTTACATGTGACTAAACAGCTACATACTTCACATAAAGTCAACCTTTCTTTCAGTTGTGATAAAAAGCAATAATCTCAACCAGAATGATAACTTTTTCACTCCAGTACAGCAGATATTCCATCCCATCTCTATCAAGCTATGTAAAAGCATTAAAATATCGCCAGCGGCGAACAGGAACCAGGGAAGAAAAACACAGAAGCAGAGAGGGAACAAAAGGCATACGGCCAGAATCAATAACAAAGATATGACCACAAATCAATGTTCATTCGCAGAGGTAACCGCCAGACAGGACTATCATTTTGGTGGGTGAGGCATGACTCTTCAGATTCAAACAACAATGATGTGAAATCCCATTACAGAAGAGGGCAACGGAGGGCAGCGCTGAGAGGTGGCGTAAGGAGAGCCTGTCATCTCAGAGGTGAGGAGAGGGGAGAAGAAAGATGAGGGACGGGAGAAATTTCTTAAGGTTTTTATTGTGAGTATAAGGCGACCCGGATTGAAAATTTACCAAAAAAGCTTGTTTGCAAACCGTGAAGTATCATATGCGAGGCATGCCATGCTTGCCCAGTAATCAAAGTGGATCACAAGTGAAGGGCTGTGATGGTTCAGGAAACACCGTAGTACCTCTTAGATGTCTTAAGATGCCATTAAGATCCATTAGTGGGCCATTAGCATGTAAAAGCTTGTGGACAACTCAAGGGCTGTTTGATATTCACAAATGAGAACTAATTGAAGAGGACAAGAGTTGGGAATGAGAGCAGAATGTATTCAGCTTGCATATTTCTTAGCCGTGGTTCACCTGGAGTAATTGAAGAGTCGACTGCCCCAGAGCGAGTGGTTTCCTCTGGAGCCTCCGTGAAAGAAGCAGGAGTCGGTCCCGTCGAAGTAGTTCAGCCCATCTTCTGTGTTGCTTGAGGCGTGACTGTGGACCATGTCCAGAAGAACCGTGATGCCCATGGAGTGTGCGGTATCAACCAGATGCTTCAGATCACCAGGAGTGCCGAAGCGGCTGAGGGAAAGAGAATGCGTGGTTTGTAGTGAATTGGTGTGCTGTTTGTGGGGTTGATGGTTATGAGGTGGTGTTAGCTAGCTGATAAAGATCTTTAGTGGTAAACCGAAAGGTTTTAGGTTAAAAGTTCACAAAGGTTGAACCAGGATCATTACAATTGGCCCTTGTGCAAAACACTTAACTAGATTACTCCACGGGGATTATCCATGCAACTGTATGTTGCTCGGGATAAATAGGTCAACTGATTAACTAATTAGCAGCTAATTATAAAATTCTACTGTTCACATGCTATGACATTTACCTTTGATTGAAAATCTCAGAAATAATATAAAGGAGACATCATTCAGGACTGGGAAACAAACACCATTTCTTATAATAATAATAAAAAAAAAAAAGAATAAAAAAAAACAGAAAATGAAATTCAGTTAATTAATATAAATGTTAAATTAATATAAACTTAGTTAGTTACTATAAATGTAATGATGGTAATTACATCATTACAATAGCATTATGCATTTTGTTATTAATGTTATTGTTTGTTGTTAATATAAATTAATAAATTAATTAATTCATAAAAATAAATATGAAATTAGTGAAATATATTACTATATTTATGTTTTTTTGAATTAAAAATAGAATATTTTATTCAAATTTGTTAATGTTGTAAACTACTAGCGTGCTGTATATTACTTAAATTATAACATATACAAACAGTAAGTTTGGATTGTTGAAAGTTTTTGAAAGAAGTCTCATGCTAACACAATAAATATTATTACAATTTAAAATGACTTAATATAAATATGAATTGTAATTTATTACTACATTTTAACATACACATACACACACACTGTATATATATCGAATCGGAACCATTCTTTATGATGAAAATATGATTTGCGGAAACATTTGAACCAATCACCTTAGCCATAAATGCTAGTACTGTAAATGGATACAGGGAACATCAATGTTGATTATCACCTAATGACATTTTTGTGATTTATATGTTGTGGGCAAAATACAAGAATACGTGATTTTAAATGGCCATCAAGGGAAAAAAACGTTTTGGTTACGTATGTAACCCTCGTTCCTTGAAGGAGGGAAAGGAGACGTCACGTCGGATGACCGACGAATTGGGATCTCCGTTCCCTCCTTCAGGGAACGAGGGTTACATACGTAACCGAGACGTTCCCTTTCAGTCAGTCACTACGAGTCACATCATGACCGACGAATTGGGATTCCCTACCAAAGCGCCATGGATGCCACCCCTTCCAGTGCCCTGTGCGAGCCACCTGCGCCCCTTTTTGGTGTAGGCCGGGGCTCGCAACAAGAAGACCATTCACCGTTGTCGTAGCACTACCCACTCAGTGAGATTGGATAACACTGGGCAAACGTACCTGTTCTACTTGGAACAGGGACGTTGCGGAAGCCCCATCCTTCCCGAAGGAGGTTTCGGAAGCAAATACACATATGAACATTCCT